AAAGGAAGGCCAGAGCCTTTGAGAACCGGCCTGACATCAGCCCCTAACGTCAGCCTTGAAGTGGGCTTTGTTACAGTGCAGGAGCCAGTAGTGACACGTTGCTGTTAACTAACACACACGGGCTCACTCTCGGTGTTGTGCACTCTGTGGGGCTGGGCAAATGTAGAATGTCGTGTGTCCACCACTGAAGTTGTACTGTCACTGCCCTACACACCCTCTGTGCGCCACCTGTCCCTCCTTCCCTCCCCTGACCCCTGCCAACCTGATCTCTTTACTGTCTCCATGGTCTTTGCCTTTCACAGGTGCCATGTGGCTGGAATCATACAGGATGTGCCTTTTTAGATGGCTCCTGTCACTTGGCAGCACGCATTTCACGTTCGTCCGTGTCTTTTCGTAGCTCGTTACCTTATTTCTTTTTATTGCTGAGTAGCGCTCCACGGTGCGGGTGTAGCCGAGCTTGTTTCCTGCTCACCTACCGGAGGACGTCTGCTTGCTTCCAAGCTTTGGCACCTGTGAACAAAGCTGCTACAGACACGTGAGGGCACGTTTCTGAGCGGACTTAGCTTTTCGGCTCGGTGGCTAGATGCCAAGGAGCATGATTGCTGGGTCGCAGCGGAAGAGTGTTTAGTGCTGTAAGAAACTGCCGGTCGCCTTCCAAAGCCACCGCACCGTTGTGCACTCCCAGGCTTTCTTTTCTCTTTCTTTTTATTTTTTTTGGAACAATTTCTGTAACCCGCTACTATCTGCCTAAACTAACAATACTACCTTGTTTCTTGTTGATTCCTTAAAGAGCCGTGGGGAGTTTAGTCTCCCCAGAAGGTCTGTCCACCCCCCGAGGGCTGTACCAGCTTCCACCCAACAGAACAAGCCCTGAAAATGATGCTGTCTGATATCAAAGGCGTCCCCTGTTAGACCTCACAGTCAGCTCAGCATAAGCACAGCCACGGTGACCTCCCTCACCCTGTCCCCTACCCCCTCCCTTTCCCTCAAGGCTGGTGCGTTCTGATAACATCTGGCACAAAACAGGATCTTGGAAAAAACCACAAAGCCGAAGCCGTTAGTGTCAGGATAGCTGCCTGTCCCCTTCTCAGAACTTAGGCTCTTCCCCCAACCCCCTCCTTCCTAAATTCAAACCCTATGAAGCTTCGCTAGTCTGTACGGGGGCAGAAAACTGATCTTTCAGCCTCCCCTCCGGGTTCGCTGGAGATAAACTCTCTGACGTGATAACGTGTGGCTCGGAGTCCCTCGGTCTGTTTGTCTCACTGACCTGACACGTCCACCCCTGGTCACGGGGCTGCGACCTTTAAAAAGTTCAGCAGAAATAAAGTGGGTGCAGAGACAGCACGCACACGTGGCAGCACTTCAGCACGTCGTCAGTCCCCAGCAAGCACCTTTAGGTGTTCATTTTGCTGTTCTTTCCATTTTTCCATGGGTTAGAAAAATTTCAAAATGCAAGTACTGGGTCAATGACCTAGTCAAAGGGGAAAAGCCTTCCCAGCATGCATCTGTCGAGGAGACTCCCCTTTGAGAATTTGCCCCAGGGAGGAACCGAAACGTCCTGAAGAAACGTGGGAATGGAGGTGCCCATCCCAGCGTTATTTGCTGTAGAAAAATGTGAAATAAATGAAACACCCCTCAGTTCAATTGGACATTCAGGTGGTGAAATACTGTGCAGCCCAGAAAGCCGTGTTTTGGGAGCACGCTTGAAATGTTTGCACAACGCGTGCACACGAGGAGGCTGCAGGACGTCGGAGCTGGCTCTCGGAGGACGGGGAGGCAGCTTTTGTTTCTTTGCTGTACTGGACGCCTCGGGCTGCTGGGCTGGGCAGGCATCGTGCAGGAATCAGACACAAGCCCACCCCTGCGGCCCTTGCTGAAGCGTTGGCGGTGGGAACTAGAGGGCGTTTCGTGGTGAAGCCGTGCTGGGCTCCAGGCACCTGCAGACCCACCTGTGGCTCTGCCCCATTAGGTCAGGTGGGTGACTTGTGGGTCTCTGGCCGCGAGGCAGGTGGTGCACCTGAGGTTCTCATAAAAGTGGGCATTTGATGCCCTGTACGGAGCGCTCTCCTGGTTTCCTGTCTGCCCCAGCAGGGACGGCAGGGCCGGAAGACGGCTGTGGCCAAGGCAGGAGGAGGACGCGGAACCCGCTCGGGACCTTTGAATTCCACCCCCAGCATCAGGGGCATTTCTGATACCACCGTATACGTTTCCTCCCTCTCCAAGGGATCTTCCACGCACATGCTGGACACACCATCAGCAAAAGCAAGTGGTTCACCAGCAGGAGGAGAGGCTGCACGTGTACCTGCCTTCCCAGTGTTCCCCGTGTTCCCAGATTCACTGGTGTTCCCAATGTTCCAAGTGTTCCCAGTGTTCCCAGTGTTCCCCATGTTCCCAGTGTCGCCAGTATTCCCAATGTTCCAAGTGTTCCTGGTGTTCCCAATGTTCCAAGTGTTCCCAGTGTTCCCAGTGTTCCCCATGTTCCCAGTGTCGCCAGTATTCCCAATGTTCCAAGTGTTCCTGGTGTTCCCAATGTTCCAAGTGTTCCCAGTGTTCCCAGTGTTCCCCATGTTCCCAGTGTCGCCAGTATTCCCAATGTTCCAAGTGTTCCTGGTGTTCCCAGTGTTCCAAGTGTTCCCAGTGTTCCCAGTGTTCCCCATGTTCCCAGTGTCGCCAGTATTCCCAATGTTCCAAGTGTTCCTGGTGTTCCCAATGTTCCAAGTGTTCCCAGTGTTCCCAGTGTTCCCCATGTTCCCAGTGTCGCCAGTATTCCCAATGTTCCAAGTGTTCCTGGTGTTCCCAGTGTTCCCCATGTTCCCAGTGTCGCCAGTATTCCCAATGTTCCAAGTGTTCCTGGTGTTCCCAGTGTTCCAAGTGTTCCCAGTGTTCCCAGTGTTCCCCATGTTCCCAGTGTCCCCAGTATTCCCAATGTTCCCAGTATTTCCAATGTTCCAAGTATTCCTAGTTTTCCTGATGTTCCCAGTGTTCCCAGTATTCCCAGTGTTCCCCATGTTCCCAGTGTCCCCAATATTCCCAATGTTCCCAGATTTCCTGGTGTTCCCAGTATTCCCAGTGTTCCCGGTATTCCAAGTGTTCTCCATCCTCACCAGTCGTGCTCAGCCGGGTCCACTCCCACATGACTAGGTTCCCATTGGCCTTGCCCAGCTCCCAGAGCCCTGACGTGAGAGTCTGCATCTGGGATGAAGTCCCCTCCCCTGTCCCCTGGGACCCGCTGCCCATCCCCCAGGTTGACCACTCAGTCAGGAGCACCTTCCAACGGGCCTCACGTCCTCCCACGATAATGAAGGTGGCCGAGTCCCTGTGGACCGTCTTCCTGGCTCCCAGACCAGGACTCGGAGGCCAGTTCCAGCACCCCCGTTCCTTCACAGGAGGACAAGTCAGCACTTTGAAAACACGAGCCACAGGCCTCCACATCTGAGACACTGGACGGCGCAGCAGGCAGAGCCGGCTGCACACCCTCGTTTGCCCACACACATGTCGAGACCCTCAGCGTGTTCCATGCTCCAGCACCCCCGAGAATCAACGACTCGGTGTTTTCCGTTATCATTGGGGTGCCTGTTTGCTGGGGGGATGCAGAGTGCTGTGGACGGACAGTTTGGTGGCTCCTTAATAAGTTAAACATGGAGTTACCACAAGACCCAGCATTTCTGTTCCCAGGAATGTACCTGAAGAATTGAAAACAGACTCTGAAAAAAAAACTCGTACAGAAATGTTCACAGCAGCACCATGCAGGAGAAGCAGGAGGTGGAAACAGTCCAGGTGTCCATTGATGGATGGACAGATTGACACGCGTGGTCCACCCACACAATGGAATATTACTCAGCCATGAAAAGGAAGGAGGCCCTGACACAGGCTACAATGTGTGTAGAGTTGAAAACATCATTCTCAGTGACAGAAGCCAGACAGAGGGAAGCACACAGTGCCTAATTCCATCTATATGAAGTGTCCAGATGACAAATCCACAGCGACAGAAAGCAGACTGCAGGTCCCCAGGGGAGTGGGATGGGGCGTGAGCTGAGGGGTAGTGGCTTCCCTTTGAGATGAAGAAAATGTTCTGGAACTAGAGGCGGCAGTCACACAACATTGTGTGAATGTACTACACGCCTTGAACTGTAAACTCGAAAATGGTGAATTTTAGTATATTTACCACAACTTAATAAAAAACATTGTATCATATCAGGACTTAATACCAAGTCTTGGGCAGGGAACTGAAGTTCTGCAGAGATGCAGGATGGTTTCTGGGATGACGCGGTGACTGAGTGGGGACCGTGAATTGTGTGAGAGGCTTGGACAGCCCAGAGCCGAGAGGAGGCGGACAGAGACCCCACGGCTGCCCTGAGTGCAATGCACGTCTGAAACACGACAGGAAGACTTTTAGGATCTGCCACCTTTATTACCGTGCTGTGAACCAGCTGCATCGTGCACCTTGGCCAAGTCCCTCAGGATGGAGGCCAGCGACTCGGGCTGCCCCAGGAAGCAGCTCTTGCTCAGCCAGGGTAGGGTCGAGGTGCGACCCCTCTCACCCCCAGGCCTGTGACCTGTCAGCAGAGCAGATGTTGTGGTCAGTCTGGGTGCTGTCGAAGCACCGTGTCACTGGCAGGGCGAGGTCACAGCAGCTCTAGCTACTTCCGAACCCGCACATTAAAGACAGTTTTCATGTGACACTGGGGCGGGTAAAGCATTGAAGATGTTTGTTTTCTAGGTGGATTGATAAACAATCCCTGTCTGTCTGTGGACGTCACCCACCCTACCCAGAGTTTAAAGACAACTTCTTACCCCTGCACCATGCAGAGATGGCACAAAAGCCACCTTGGGGACTCTGAGTATAAACGACCTCATCAAACCTTGAAGACATATCCAGCCTGGGGCTCCTGCAACAGCTGCTCCGGGCTCAGGCTGTCCGCTGCAGAGGTCACGTAGAGGTCCGCATAGTCGGTCCCCCCAAAGCAGCAGGATGTGACTCTGGATACAGGCATCTCCACCATGCACAGCTGTGACCCTGTGAGCAGAGCGAGTTCTGACCCTCAGGACTGCAACCGCTTTCCTGCTCTAGGGCCCAAGGCCTCCGGACTGCCCAGCCTGACCCCCTGGTCCCTATCAGCTTCTCCACAGCATCCCCAGCATCTGAATCCACACCTGCCAGCCGGCCTTGCTTCACCTGCTGTAGTGAGTTCAGTAGTGTCCCCTAAATTCATGTCAACAGGGACCTCAGATTGGGACTTTATTTGGAAATAGGGTCTTTGCAAATGTAATTAGTTAAGATAAGATCATTCTGTATTAGGGTGGCACTAAATCCAATGACAGTTGTCCTCATAAGAGACAGAAGAGGAGACAGAGACACAGAGGAGAAGCCACATGAAGACAGAGGCAGAGACTGGAGTGATGCGGCCACAAGCCCAGGGACGCCTGGAGCCACCAGGAGCTGGAAGAGGCAGGAAGGATCCTCCCCTGGAGCCTCTGGAGGGAGCACGGCCCTGCCACACCTGCACCTCAGACTTCTGCCTCCAGAACTGGGAGAGGACACATTCCTGTTGTTTTAAGCCTCCCAGTGTGTGGTCCTTTATGTGGCAGTCCCAGGACACTCCTACACTTGCCGAATGATGAAACAGGGACCTGGACAATCATTCCATCTAGGAAAGGAAGACCCCTCTGTCGCTGGACAAGTGTGTCCACAAAAATGTGGCTACTGCTTTGTCCTGGCTCCTGGAGCAGAACTCCATGCACACAGCGGACACCCCTTTGCGGCCACAGCTCGGGATGGCCCACACACCTGTCTCGGGATCCAGGCGGATGACTCTGCCCCCGTCGATGCAGGCCACCCAGAGCTTCCCTGCAACATCCACGCACATCCCATCAGGCATTCCCTGCCCCTGTGGCAGCTGGTACAGGAGCCTTGGGTTTGCTGCAATGAGAGTTGGGGGATGGGATGGGGCTCACTCCCAGCCCTGTGAGTGCCTGCAGCAGGCAGACCCCTGGGTGAGCCCACCCTAACACAAAGATGGGGACGAGGACTGGATGAGACACCCCCAGCTTGTTAGGGCCCCGGACACGGCTGGACCCTGATGCTTACTGACCCCCTTATAGTCATGAGCTGTAGGCTGGCAAAGTAGTCCCCAAATAATGCTGACCCAGAGCGCTTCTCCTCAGAAGCCGGGCCAAGGACATCGTCTTCAAATGTTTGCTGCCTCCATGAGGCCCTCTTGGATTTCTGCCTCAAGGACTCCCCCTCCCCCACCATGCTGTGTCAAACCTCCCAGCGCTGGTCACACCTATCCCCAGAGTACCCTCCACAGAGACACGTGGAGTCCTAACCCCAGACCTCAGAATGGGACGTTACTTGGAAGCAGGGTCTTTATAGAAGTGAGTGAGATGAAGCGAGGTTGCTTGGGTGGACTTCTTCCAATAGGACAGCTGTCCTCGTGACAAGGGAATGTCAGGACACAGACATGCACAGGGTTGCAGCCAACTGAAGGCCGAGGGACTGGGGCGATGTGGCCACAAGCCCAGAAACACAAGGACTGCCGGCAGCCCCAGGAGCTGGGAGACATCTGGACAGATTCCCCTTAGAGCCCCAGAAGGAAGCAGCCCTGCCCCATGTTGGTCTCTAAGTCTCCATAAATGCCCCCGTCCAAGCCTCGCAGTCTGCAGTGCCTCTGACAGCTGCCCAGAGCCAGCACCCCTCAGATGAGCTGGGCAGGTGCTGTGTGTCTGACACTCGGTGACACTCAGGGCCACCCTGTCCTCTTCCGGGCCCCACCCTCCTGCTCTTCCGCAACGACTCTTGAGACCCAGGACCTTCCCCATCCCCACGGCTCCTGCTCCTGGGCTCAGCCTCCTGCCTACCCCCAAATTCCTGAGGGCCCACTTAAGGCTCACAGTCCACAAGAGGACCCCACTTTCTCCTGCTGCACATCCCACCTCTGACCCTGGACCTGCCCTGCTGTGTCCTGCGCTCCTGCCTGTCACCTGCTGCACGTCCCGCCTCTGACCCTGGACCTGCCCTGCTGTGTCCTGCGCTCCTGCCTGTCACCTGCTGCACGTCCCGCCTCTGACCCTGGACCTGCCCTGCTGTGTCCTGCGCTCCTGCCTGTCACCTGCTGCACGTCCCGCCTCTGACCCTGGACCTGCCCTGCTGTGTCCTGCGCTCCTGCCTGTCACCTGCTGCACGTCTCGCCTCTGATCCTGGACCTGCCCTGCTGTGTCCTGCACTCCTGCCGTGTCGCCTGCTGCATGTCCTGCCCTGCATCCTTCTCTTTGGCCTTGCTGCACACTAGTTTCTCTCAGCACCTGATACCGTTTTCCACTTTTCCTCTTTTTGGTTTTATCTGAGCCACCTTCTTATGTGCCCATTATGAGCGTGACCACCTGGACTCGGCGTACCCCTGTGCTCTCATGACATTGACCATGATTCTCCTGTGCTCCCAGCAGGTGAGGGCCCCCTCCTCTTTCCACACCTGCTGGCTCCTGCTCCGTGTTGCCCCCTTGGCTCCAGCACCACCCGGCTCCCCGGACAGGGAAATGTCACAGGAACCTCTATCTTCCACCCCCTCCAAGCCTCTCAGCCTCTCAGCCCAGCTCAGGCTGTTTCTTGTGGGAAAGGTGCTCTAGGTCCTTGAGTGGAAGCAACATCTCTGAGTGTTAGAGACCAGGAGCCTTGAGGGCTGGTGCTTGTCCCTGGAGCGAGGCGATCACCAAGCTGCTGGGCACAGTCAGCCAGCCACGGGCAACCCTCATCCAGAGCCAAAGGGAGAGGGTGACACTGACCACAGGGTGGACATCAGGCCACTCCAACTACTGGGTGGACGTCAGGCCACACTGACCACTGGGTGGATGTGAGGCCTTCACGCAATTCGGTGACTCTGAAGTGATCACTCCTGTGATCCTTGGCCTAGGGCCAGGAGGAGAGGGTAACACTGACCACAGGGACACTGACCACGTGGTGGACGGCACTCCTTACTGACCACAGGTGGACGTTACTTCTCACTGACCACTGGGTAGACATGAGGCTCTGACAGTCACTCCTGTGCCTCTTGACCCAGGGCCAGAAGGAGATGGTGACACTGACCACAGGGTGCACGTCAGGCCACAGTGACCACAGGGTGGACATCACCCTTTACTGACAACTGAGTGGATGTGAGGCCCTGACATTACTGAGTGACCCTGACATGGTCACTTCTGTGACCCTGACCCAGGGCCATGAGGAGAAGGTGACACTGACTACAGGGAAACTGACCACTGGGTGGACACCTGCCATCTGCCTGAAGCAGGTTCTGTGAGCACGTGGCTCCTTTCCCATGCAGGGGAGATGGGCAGCCGTCCCTTCTCTCTGTCCATGACTGGACAGTGCCTGCTTCCTGCGATGATAAAACAGTCCTTCCCCAGGGGCACGTAGAAGTGAGACAGACACCATGAAAAAGCTGCTTCTGATGTTAAGGTGGGCCTGGGGCGTGGGGGGTGGAACACCAGAGAATGCCTGAGGGACAAGATTTCCCTACATTTAGACCCCAGGTGACCCTCACAGGCAGATGCAGGTGCAGCCCTAAAGCTCTGAGCCCTGGACACTCAGACCCGACCCCAGGCCGCTGGGGAGTAACTGAGCCTTGGCCGACCCACTGCCACCGGCATGGAGCTTCTGCGAGGGCCTGCCCATCTCTGTCTCCCTGGTCTGGGCTCCCACCCTCTCTCTGCAGAGCTCAGGGAGTTGGCGGGTGGGGGGTATTCATGGTGGGCTAGGGTGTGAGTAAGGAAGGGCCGGGGCTCCTACCGATCTTGCCGGTCTGCACGTCATAGTCGTACACATGCACGGAGTAGTCCAGGCTGTCAACGTGGTAGAAGGTGCTGTGGTCCAGGGACCAGTCCAGCCCATTTGGGATGCCCAGCCCATGCAGGTGTCTGACCACCGAGTGGTCAGCATAGAGCGTGTACAGGGAGCCCTGCCCTCGCTCCCACACTCCTGGGGCGGACGGCTCCGGCATGGTGCCTGAAAGACAGGAGGTCAGGGAATGGCCCCCAGGGCTCCAACAGAGCCCCTCCCCCTGCCCTGCCCATCCCCCAAACTACAGCCACTCCCCAGGAAATGAAAGATGCTCTGTGCAGAGTGAACATCGTGGGCCTGGGACTGCCCTCCTCAGGAAGGAGGTCAGGAAGGACCCTTGGCCAATGTCAGGAAACCGGACTGTTACAGTGGCACAATGGGGGACCTCAAAAACAAATCCACATCCGAACCCCCAGAACCCGGGAATGGGACCTTGTTTGGCAATAGGGCCTGCGGTGATGTAATAAGACAAGGTCATCCCTGATTAGGGTGACCCTAAATCAAATAACAAGAGTCCTCATAAGAGACGGAAGAGGAGACGCAGATACAGAAGAAAAGCCACGTGAAGGTGGAGGCAGAGACTGGAGTGATGCGGCCACAAGCCCAGGGACGCCTGGAGCCACCAGGAGCTGGAAGAGGCAGGAAGGATCCTCCCTGGATCTCACACTTCTGCCCTCAGAACTGGGAGACAATACATTCCTGTTGTTTTAAGCTCCCTATGCTGCTATGAAATCTCCCTCACCAGTAAGAGGCCCTGTGCCCACACCGTGCAAACCATGGGTTTATGCTGCACACGGGCTTTCCTCTGGGTGCCTGAAGTTTGGGAGATACAGGGTGGATGGCGCCCATGTGACCAGCCCCCAGCACACACCCTGGGCACCGAGTCCCTGACGGGCTCCCCAGGAGGAACCATCACACACATGTGGCTGCCTCTTCATTGCTGGGAAGAGGGTGTTCTGCAGACCTCGTGGGAGGCAGGGAGCACAGGGAAGTGGCGTGTGGCTCCTCCTGACCCTGCTGTCCTCCCCAAGACCCGGCTGTGTGTCCTCAGGAGCCCTGAGACCCATGTTAGCCGCAAGCACACCACAATATACCGACCCCGTGAGCTGCCTGGGAGTGTCCAGACCTGGGTGGTCTTGGGGACCCCGGCACACACTGGTGCACAGGGCACACTTCCCACACCCTCCACCTGGTGGGAGAACCACACCCCTGGCCGGTTCGGGCACCGCTGGTGCTCTGCAGGCTGAGCCGTGCCCCCAGCCCCAGCCCCAGCCCCAGCCCGGCATCTCCACCTGCAGGTTTCCTCCCAGTCTTCTCAGGCAAGAGCCAGGGTTTCTACAGCAAATTGTCTGCAGGCGGCTCAACCGTGCCCACACGCTCACATCCCCAGGTGTGAGACCTCCCCGGCCCCCTCCACCTCGGGGCTGAGGGCCCTCCTGGGAGCCCCGAGCACTGCAGGCCACCCCAGGACACAGACCGTGCTCATGGGGCTCTGAATCCCACCCCAGGACACCCAGGGCACACGGGGCATTCTCACGAACGTGGACACCTCAGGACACAGACCGTGCTCATGGGGCTCTGAATCCCACCCCAGGACACCCAGGGCACACGGGGCATTCTCACGAACATGGACACCTCAGGGAAGGTGACCTTGGCCATGCCACACACCGATGAGATTAACATTTCCAGGGGTGGCCGAAGCCACATCTGGACGGATAGCCAGGAGCCCAGGAGGCATAATGGGGTGAAAAGATGGGGTATGGAATTGGACAGAACGCAATGGAACGACAACTCTCATCTGGAGGCGCCCAGCAGCACACGGCATGCACTGGACGTCCGAGTGGTCTCCTGCCATGAAGGGGGACAGCTGCCCAAAGCTGCCTGCTTGGCCCCTGGCACCTGCCCTGAGCGTGGGACTGCCCAGGTGGCCACTGGCCTCCAGCTGACCCATGTCGCAGTGGGCTGAGGCCACACCTGACCTTCTAGAAGCCCACCTGCCACAAACCTCCCGGCAGGGTCCACCTTCCCGTCGTTGAACCTGTTGTGGGGCTTGTCCCTGTCCAGCCAGGCCACCCACTGCACCTGCTGTGTCTCCCAGTCCAGGAAGCCGAGGCGGGTGCCGGCTGCCACCACATAGGCCCCTTTCTGGCGCAGAGCCACGCAGCCAACGCGGTTTCCTGGAAAAACACAGAGGGACAGGTGGGGCCCCCGTGGCTGCCTCTCCACTGGCCAGTGCCACCCCCACCCTGCTATGGTGCCCGTTAGGAGCTGTTGCTGGTGAGGAAGTGTTTCTCTTCTTCCCGGGGCGGGGCTCAGCTGCTCCCAGGCACCGTCTGGGTTGGCCGTGGTGGCCCCTAGACCCCTCCTCAGCCAGCCGTCCTGTGCCTTCCCTCCCCACAGCAGCCACTACCGTTCCTCCAGTGACCAGCTGCAGCGGCTACTAGTGGGCTGGTTTCTCTTCTGACAAAGTCAGAGAAGCTCCGTGACCTCCCACATCCGGCACTTGGAGACAGCTGGTCTCTGACCCACATGGGAGGGCACACCCAACCCAGGGCCTCAGGCATGTGGGGACCAGACGTGCCTTCACACGCGGGCCCCACCCTGATGACCATGGAGGGGGATCGAGTCCCCTCCCTGTGGGGACCCCCACGCTCTACTCACTCAGGCCCACGGTCTGCACCTCCCCCGTGAGTGGGCTCCACCGGCACACGAGCCCCGCGGTGATGTCCAGGAACAGCAGCTGCCCTGTCCCCTCTTCCCACACCGGGCTCTCCCCCATCCTGTGCCGCTGCCTGACGATGGCCTCGATCCTGGGGGACGCCATGGCCTGAGGAGAAGGCGAGCCCCTGAGTGCAGCCTGGTGTCCCCTCCCCCTGCTTCCCAGACCCCAGGGCTGGGGCCGCTGGACAGGGAAGACCCCGATGCTCCCGGTGTGTGATGGCGTGTTCCACGCCCTGTGACGAAACCCGCGTCTGCCGCTGGAGCCTGACCACTGTGAGACTCAGAGAACTCCGGGCACAGTCGCCGGAAAGACGACACCGCGGGATGTCCGGGGGCTCTTCCAGCAGACGCGCTGTCCCTGTTCTCAGCACGCCTTTGTTAACTCGGTCCCCCCTGCCGTCGCTCCACACAGCACACACAGACATGGAGCCTCTGAGAAGCCAAGCGACGACCTGCCCAGACGTGGAGCATGGGGTGGGGGCTGCACCCCTGGGGGGTCTGGCTCCCAGGTGGCCCCTGCCTCTAACGACACCTTCCCTGCCCCGCGACAGGATTCCATTCACGTTCTTTCTTTCAGTTGGATGCAGTTTTCAACAATTCTCTTTTTAATTGGATTTATTTTACGAACGTTTTCCTTCTAATAAGATTCACTTTGCAAAAACCTTCCCTCAATGGGATTTGTTTTCCAAAACCTTCCTGGTATTCCAGACACCCGGGTCCACTGTCACACGTTACCTGCGGCTTCAGGGGCTCCCTGGGCTCGGCTGCTCCGTCTCAGCTCTCCCTCCTCTGCTCCAGCTCAGGCAGGACACGCGCTGGCTTCAGCTGCTGAGCTCCGCCCAGGCCTGCCCCTGGCAGGCAACTCCCTCAGTCCCTTGTCCCTCCCTGCTGTGTCCTGGCCAAACCCCAGAAGAGCCCCAGTGGGCGGGCGCGGTCACACTGCTCTGTCCTGGGGAGCCCTGAGTGGCAGCTTCAGAGGCTGCCATCAACTTTGTGTTAGGCTGAAAAAATCGTGCCAGGGTCTCCTTCAGCAGGAGCCCGTTGGAGCACCCAGCCAGTGCCCCTCGCTCCCGCCAGCCTGTCCTGAGGCTCCTCTCAGGACCCGGCTGTGGCCGAGTCCATCCTCCCCCGACATGGGCTGCCAGCTCCTTGGAGGTAGATTCTCCTGCACCAATTACTGATCCAAGCTCCTCCCAGATGGGAGCCCACACCCTGTACCCCAAGGATTCTGCTGAAAGGCCTACTGTAGCTCACCAAGGACCCTGAACATTGTCCTGGACCGGGCGCCCTCTCTNCAATAGGGCCTGCGGTGATGTAATAAGACAAGGTCATCCCTGATTAGGGTGACCCTAAATCAAATAACAAGAGTCCTCATAAGAGACGGAAGAGGAGACGCAGATACAGAAGAAAAGCCACGTGAAGGTGGAGGCAGAGACTGGAGTGATGCGGCCACAAGCCCAGGGACGCCTGGAGCCACCAGGAGCTGGAAGAGGCAGGAAGGATCCTCCCTGGATCTCACACTTCTGCCCTCAGAACTGGGAGACAATACATTCCTGTTGTTTTAAGCTCCCTATGCTGCTATGAAATCTCCCTCACCAGTAAGAGGCCCTGTGCCCACACCGTGCAAACCATGGGTTTATGCTGCACACGGGCTTTCCTCTGGGTGCCTGAAGTTTGGGAGATACAGGGTGGATGGCGCCCATGTGACCAGCCCCCAGCACACACCCTGGGCACCGAGTCCCTGACGGGCTCCCCAGGAGGAACCATCACACACATGTGGCTGCCTCTTCATTGCTGGGAAGAGGGTGTTCTGCAGACCTCGTGGGAGGCAGGGAGCACAGGGAAGTGGCGTGTGGCTCCTCCTGACCCCTGCTGTACGGTCAAGGCGGATGTTCGGTACAGCAGCTGCAAAAACTCTAAAATTATATCCTGCTGTTAAGAATACCTATTTGGGTGGGGGGAGTTTGAACATTCCAATTCTCAGTCAGTTTTGTGCTTACATTTATAGCCTTACTGGAAGCTTGTTTTCTTTCTTTTCAAAAAAAGAAACAACTTGTAACCCCTTTTGGCCAATAATAAAAAAAAAAAATTGGAATTAGTCAGGTATTTAATTTTTGCTTAATAGGCAGTATTAATTGTCTTTGATATAAAAATACCTTGTCTTGAAAATAAATTTCAATATAAATGTTTTGCTTTATAATATGGATGCCTTTTTACACTTAGTTAACCACCTAAAAAATGGATTATTTCATTTCTTGGGATTTTTTTTTAGAAGTTAAGTTTATTTGTTAAATGAACTCCTATGGCAGCTCTTAAAGCTATTATTTATTCATGATTATATACCTTATGCTGCTATGAAATCTCCCTCACCAGTAAGAGGCCCTGTGCCCACACAGTGCGAACCATGGGTTTATGCTGCACACGGGCTTTCCTCTGGGTGCCTGAAGTTTGGGAGATACAGGGTGGATGGCGCCCATGTGACCAGCCCCCAGCACACACCCTGGGCACCGAGTCCCTGACGGGCTCCCCAGGAGGAACCATCACACACATGTGGCTGCCTCTTCATTGCTGGGAAGAGGGTGTTCTGCAGACCTCGTGGGAGGCAGGGAGCACAGGGAAGTGGCGTGTGGCTCCTCCTGACCCTGCTGTCCTCCCCAAGACCCGGCTGCGTGTCCTCAGGAGCCCTGAGACCCATGTTAGCCACGAGCACACCACAATATGCTGACTCCGTGAGCTGCCTGGGAGTGTCCAGACCTGTGTCGTCTTGGGGACCCCGGCACACACTGGTGTACAGGGCACACTTCCCACACCCTCCACCTGGTGGGAGAACCACACCCCTGGCCGGTTCGGGCACCGCTGGTGCTCTGCAGGCTGAGCCGTGCCCCCAGCCCCAGCCCCAGCCCCAGCCCGGCATCTCCACCTGCAGGTTTCCTCCCAGTCTTCTCAGGCAAGAGCCAGGGTTTCTACAGCAAATTGTCTGCAGGCGGCTCAACCGTGCCCACACGCTCACATCCCCAGGTGTGAGACCTCCCCGGCCCCCTCCACCTCGGGGCTGAGGGCCCTCCTGGGAGCCCCGAGCACTGCAGGCCACCCCAGGACACAGACCGTGCTCATGGGGCTCTGAATCCCACCCCAGGACACCCAGGGCACACGGGGCATTCTCACGAACATGGACACCTCAGGGAAGGTGACCTTGGCCATGCCACACACCGATGAGATTAACATTTCCAGGGGTGGCCGAAGCCACATCTGGACGGATAGCCAGGAGCCCAGGAGGCATAATGGGGTGAAAAGATGGGGTATGGAATTGGACAGAACGCAATGGAACGACAACTCTCATCTGGAGGCGCCCAGCAGCACACGGCATGCACTGGACGTCCGAGTGGTCTCCTGCCATGAAGGGGGACAGCTGCCCAAAGCTGCCTGCTTGGCCCCTGGCACCTGCCCTGAGCGTGGGACTGCCCAGGTGGCCACTGGCCTCCAGCTGACCCATGTCGCAGTGGGCTGAGGCCACACCTGACCTTCTAGAAGCCCACCTGCCACAAACCTCCCGGCAGGGTCCACCTTCCCATCGTTGAACCTGTTGTGGGGCTTGTCCCTGTCCAGCCAGGCCACCCACTGCACCTGCTGTGTCTCCCAGTCCAGGAAGCCGAGGCGGGTGCCGGCTGCCACCACATAGGCCCCTTTCTGGCGCAGAGCCACGCAGCCAACGCGGTTTCCTGGAAAAACACAGAGGGACAGGTGGGGCCCCCGTGGCTGCCTCTCCACTGGCCAGTGCCACCCCCACCCTGCTATGGTGCCCGTTAGGAGCTGTTGCTGGTGAGGAAGTGTTTCTCTTCTTCCCGGGGCGGGGCTCAGCTGCTCCCAGGCACCGTCTGGGTTGGCCGTGCTGGCCCCTAGACCCCTCCTCAGCCAACCGTCCTGTGCCTTCCCTCCCCACAGCAGCCACTACCGTTCCTCCAGTGACCAGCTGCAGCAGCTACTAGTGGGCTGGTTTCTCTTCTGACAAAGTCAGAGAAGCTCCGTGACCTCCCACATCCCGCACTTGGAGACAGCTGGTCTCTGACCCAAATGGGAGGGCACACCCAACCCAGGGCCTCAGGCATGTGGGGACCAGATGTGCCTTCACACGCAGGCCCCACCCTGATGACCGTGGAGGGGGATCGAGTCCCCTCCCTGTGGGGACCCCCAGGCTCTACTCACTCAGGCCCACGGTCTGCACCTCCCCCGTGAGTGGGCTCCACCGGCACACGAGCCCCGCGGTGATGTCCACGAACAGCAGCTGCCCTGTCCCCTCTTCCCACACGGGGCTCTCCCCCATCCTGTGCCGCTGCCTGACGATGGCCTCGATCCTGGGGGACGCCATGGCCTGAGGAGAAGGCGAGCCCCTGAGTGCAGCCTGGTGTCCCCTCCCCCTGCTTCCCAGACCCCAGGGCTGGGGCCGCTGGACAGGGAAGACCCTGATGCTCCCGGTGTGTGATGGCGTGTTCCACGCCGTGACGAAACCCGCGTCTGCCGCTGGAGCCTGACCACTGTGAGACTCAGAGAACTCCGGGCACAGTCGCCGGAGAGACGACACCCGCGGGATGTCCGGGGGCTCTTCCAGCAGACGCGCTGTCCCTGTTCTCAGCACGCCTGTGTTAACTCGGTCCCCCCGGCCGTCGCTCCACACAGCACACACAGACATGGAGCCTCTGAGAAGCCAAGCGACGACCTGCCCAGACGTGGAGCATGGGGTGGGGGCTGCACCCCTGGGGGGTCTGGCTCCCAGGTGGCCCCTGCCTCTAACGCTGACTCTGGCCTCAGCTTCATTCCCTGGGGGCTGCTGCCGCCTCTTCCTCGGCCCGGCATAACTTCGTATAGCATACATTATACGAAGTTATACGAGCTCGGCTGCTCCGTCTCAGCTCTCCCTCCTCTGCTCCAGCTCAGGCAGGACACGCGCTGGCTTCAGCTGCTGAGCTCCGCCCAGGCCTGCCCCTGGCAGGCAACTCCCTCAGTCCCTTGTCCCTCCCTGCTGTGTCCTGGCCAAACCCCAGAAGAGCCCCAGTGGGCGGGCGCGGTCACACTGCTCTGTCCTGGGGAGCCCTGAGTGGCAGCTTCAGAGGCTGCCATCAACTTTGTGTTAGGCTGAAAAAATCGTGCCAGGGTCTCCTTCAGCAGGAGCCCGTTGGAGCACCCAGCCAGTGCCCCTCGCTCCCGCCAGCCTGTCCTGAGGCTCCTCTCAGGACCCGGCTGTGGCCGAGTCCATCCTCCCCCGACATGGGCTGCCAGCTCCTTGGAGGTAGATTCTCCTGCACCAATTACTGATCCAAGCTCCTCCCAGATGGGAGCCCACACCCTGTACCCCAAGGATTCTGCTGAAAGGCCTACTGTAGCTCACCAAGGACCCTGAACATTGTCCTGGACCGGGCGCCCTCTCTGTGGATCAGATCACGAATCCACAAATTCTGCGTCTTCCCTGCCATGCCTGTAGTAGGTGGAGTTTCGCCTCCTTGGCTCCCACGGCACCCTCATGATGTCAAATCCCGGGTCTGCCTGCAGCTCCCCTGGGCCTGTGACCCTGGCGGCTCCTGTCTGAGACTGCGCCTGCTTCATCCCCGTCAGTGGCCCCAACCCACAGGGCCCAGGCATGTGCCCCCGAGGAGCCTGCACCTCCATGGGCTACGGTGGGATTCAAAGGAAAGGAAGCAGGGCCTGAGGTTTGGGGTGGGGACCCCAGAGCGGCAGGCATAGTGAACTCAGGGCCCACTCCCTGAAACAGCCTTTGGTGTGTCTTGCAACCTGTGGGTCTAGTTAGACCAGCCCCACCCGGCATGCGTTTCTGCCCAGGATGGCGCAGCTTTCTAAATGTTTGGCTCTGCAGTATCTCACAGTTCTGTCTTGCGACCCCACATTGGGAAATGCTGTCTGGTCATCCCAACTGGGCACCTTGGTGTCCGGGTGGTCACTGGGGCCAGGAGCTGCTGCCTCTGAGGCCTATTTGGGCTGACTGTGGGTGTGGACATTTTCACAAACTCCCTGGCTACGCATGTGCAGGACACACACGCCACTTACACGCTCGCTCCCGTGGGTGCGTTAATGGAGCCACAAACACCTGCCCGGACCACCAGAGACAGTCTGACTCCTTGAAGCTGAGAGAATGCGTTACAGTGGGAAGGATGCACACGGCTGCTTGGGGACTCCACTGTCACAGCAGCCACACTGAAGGTCCTGTGGTCAACTGCATTTTTTGGCCAACACTACCTTTTCTGTCCATCCTCAAACCAAGAGGGCAAGGAGGGCAGCGGGCAAAGAGGTGCTTTTAAGTCCTCAAAGGAAATTTGAACACAGGGAGGAAAGAGGCCTCTGCACCGGGCCTGAAGAGGCTGGAACCGTGGCCTCGACAGAAACCAGAGGACGCGCTCAACTGCAGCAGGGCTGGTCGTCGTCCCTGGGCTGAGGACTCGGAAACACTTGACCCCCCAAAACACACCGAGAGCTGAGCCCCCCATGGATCCACGTGGGCCTTGTGCCCCCAGCGCCCTGGGGTCTCCGCTGCTGAACCTCGGCCCTCGCGCCCCACCCCTGCCTGACTCACCAGCCACAAGCAGGCACGAGCACCCTCCTGCCAGAGCCGCTCTCAGCTGCGCCCCTCGTGCTCCTGGTCTCTCCCACCACAAGACCCCTCCTCAGCCTCTGTCCAACAAGTCCCCCTCCCAGACTAGCCCATGGGGTTCCGGGCTCCATCCTCCTGCCCCGTGTCCTCCATCTGCACCTGGGATGATGATCTCACAGTCTCATGACTTTACAAACTCCATGTGCTGATGACTCCCAGGTTTATAGCCGCAGCTCAGAAGCTGCTTCCAATCTCAGACTCACATACCCAACACCCCCGCCCGGAAGGTCACCAGGCACGAGAAATGAGCACGCCCCAGACTCCCCTTTCTGCCTCCGCCCCCTCTTCCTTCTCCCCACTGCTCAGAACATGAGTCTGGATAACTTCTCTCACTCCCGGCCCCAAACCCACCAGCAGCACCACTGTGGTGGGTGGATAGTGTCCCCCAAAACCCATGTCCTCCCAGAACCTCAGAATGCAATCTTATTTGGACCTAGGGTCTCTGCAGATGGATTTAATTAAGATGAGGCTCTAGTGGAGTAGGGTGGGCTCTGATCCACTGACAGGTGTCCTCATAAGAGACAGAAGAGGAGACACAGACACAGAGGAGAAGCCACGTGAAGATGGAGGCAGAGACTGGAGCGATGCGGCCACAAGCCCAGGGACACCTGGAGCCACCGGGAGCTGGAAGAGGCAGGAAGGACTCTCCCCTGGAGCCTCTGGAGGGGCACGGCCCTGCTACACCTAACCTCAGACTTCTGCCTCTGGAACTGTTGAGAGGACACATTCCTGCTGTTGTAAGCTCCACACAGTGACAGCAGCCCCAGGCCACTCACAAACGATCAAACTGCACCAACGTTCCTCCCACTCCTCCCACCTCCACGAGGCCCTCTGACCACGTGCCCTCCTGCCTGCCCGCCCCTTCCACATGGAGTCTCTGGCTCCAGGACATCCCTCCCCGGCCAGGCTTCCCCACTTGCCGCCATCACCCTGTGGTCTGTTCCCAGCAGGGGAGGAGGGTCCTCCGTGAAGTCAGGCGCGTCACGCTCTGTCTCTGCCCGCTGTGGCTCATCCCTCCACTGTCCTGCTGCCTTGGCCTCCTTCTGGATCTAGGAGCACCTTTCTCACACCACAGGCAGGGCTGTCACAACCTCACTTCTCCGCCTCCCCTGTTCCTCCAGATGGTTGATCCTCACACCTGCCTCATGTCAACACCTGCTGCCACCTCCTCCCTGGGGACAGCAGGAGTCCACCTACTCATCTGGCCCTGCTGACCCCCACACCCTGCACGGGCTGCACAAACGTGCCACAGCACAGACGTGCCGCAGTGACCGCCTCTCCGTCACAGCAGGATTCCTGGACTCCTGCCTCACTGCTCTGGACCCTCCCATTAGAACTGCCCTTAGGAAAGTGCCTGGGTGACACCCTAGAACCCAGTGGAGGCTTTGACCAAGGGTCCCCACTCTTGTTCCACACCCGCTGAGTGTGTGTCCTGGATGCCCTGAGCGGCGCGCTGCCCTCTGCTCTCTGGGCTCTGTGGGCGACATGCTGCCTCTGTGACTCCACGGGCTTTGTTGAGCTGCCTGCTGTGTGTCTTACCAACCCGACACCTGAACCGACTCTCCTCCTGGCCAGGGCTCTCCAGGAGAGGGGCTTCTCAGGAGAAATAAACTAGACACACGTCGGACGAGAGCCAAGGGGGCCCACCGACATGAACACGCTTCCTGGGTGAGGGACACGTGGTCACGGGTGGACACTGAGGTGTCAGGCTGCTCACCAGGATGAAGAATTGCCCGTGTAAGGTGCACCACAGACACCCACGGCCACCTCCCCGGGAGCCCTGTCAGGGCAGGGCTGGCATTTGTAGCCACCCTCCAGACAGAGGCCTCAAGACCAAACTAGAGGAAAACCATCACCCCCAACATGTCCCCCTCCCTCCAAGCCCAAGCTGACAAAGCCCCCAGTCGCTGTGCCCCCGTCTCCCTGACCTCTGCCATCATCCCTACCCCACACCCACTCTGTCCCCAGCCCTTGGACCCTCCCAAGGAGCAGACGCTCGCTCAGGGCCTTTGCATGGGCAGTTTCCTCTCCCAGAAAGGATGGGCGTCCTCGTCCTCACCTGTCCCGGCTCAGTGGTCACTTTTTGGTCAGCTGCGCCTGATGTCCCCATTCAGCACTGCACCCTTCACTGGCTCAACTTCATCTGCTCTGTCGCAGCTCCCACACCATGTGCATTCCACCTGCTCACGGCCTGACTTTCCTCCCTGGGGGGCAGACCTCACCAGCGCAGGACTTCTCACCTGCCCGGTTCCCTCCTGCATGTGCCTAGCACGCGAATGAATACTGTCCATTCCTCGGACGCAGGGATGAACACACAGGTTGATGCTCCAGAATCGCTAATTAGGGTCTACGCTGGTTCCAGTGGCTGCCGTCCCAAACACCACAAACTAGTGGCTTAAACAACTCATGTATCCTTCCACAGCTCTGGAGCTCAAGTCTAAAACAGGTCTCACCAGCTGACGTCCAGGTGTGGCAGGGCCGTGCTCCCTCCAGAGGCTCCAGGGGAGGATCCTTCCTTACTCTTCCAGCTCCTGGTGTCTCCAGATGTCCCTGGGCTTGTGGCCGCATCACTCCAGTCTCTGCCTCCATCTTCACATGGCTTTTCCTCTGCATCTGTTTCCTCTTCCATCTCTCTTGAGGATACCTGTCATTGGATTTAGGGCCCACTCTAACCCTATATCATGTTATCTCAAAATTCTCAATTATATCTG